ACATTTAGGCCGACATTACATACATTTCCCCTATCTATGGGAGCTCTTCGAAATCATTGTGATGTCATGGATTGCTTTGCAACATTCCGGGTGAGATCTTTCCTTTATTTTTCTCTTAACTTTCATTCCACTATTATATGAAACATTAAATGCTGGGTACGGGCGGGTCCACCAGGCAACTCGATTGAAGCGAAATCGATGGGGAGAGTGGAAATGGCAACTCCCTGTTTTTATAAAATTTCGAAGAAGACGGGCTCATTTCCCCACTCTTTGGGACATCCTTCTGTTGGATGGCCTGTTTTTTTTATCGTTTATATTATCCTGTTGATGGAAGGAGATTCTAATTTATCCCGTGGCTGAACGTGGGCGATGTTGCCCACGGATTCACCCAAACTGTTTTTGGACCATCATCATCATAAATACAGCTGTGAGTAAATGCTCAAACGCAATAAGGGCGGAACCGGAACGGAAACGGAAGTTTGACAGTTGTCACTAATGACATCAAGATGCCTAACCGAAGCCGATATGGTTCTAACTAGTTTTAAATACGACAAGTAGGCTTACACAGATCGGGCTTTTCCGCTGTCGCTGCCGTTTCGCTTCCGCTGTCATTGCGATTGAGCCTTAAATCCACTTTTTACGAAAGCGAGTAAAACATTTAAACGAAAAATAGATGTTCAGTCACTTTGACTCAATCTGTGAGTTACGTTGATAGTCCGTGTAACTTTGAAAATAGTGAAAACAAAAAAAATTGCCACGGCGCGAGAAGACGTCCCTGGCGAGTTTGAATTTGTATTAGCCGACAAATTTGCGCCAGATTTCCGCCACAAATATGACGAATGACTCCAAGGTGTACAATTCAAGAAAAACGCTGTGTACCATTTAACAAGATACGCAAAGGACCTGCGAAGTTTATAAACAATTTTTTAGTAGTTTGAGTTATTTCCTTTTAATCCCATTATAATTGTTTATCTTTAAGCAGATACGCGTATTTCATCCACTACTTGTAGACTTCCTCAGTGTCATGTACTCAACCACCACTGAAGAAGGCATCGCATCTTATCAATTTAATTACTAATATCTAGGTACTATTTTTACAAAATTTAGCAGTTTCGGAACTGCCATACCAACTCACCATTTTTTCATGACATTTTTTTTAAATCTCGGAAATCACGATTTTAGGGGCATAATGTTATTAAATCATCAAAAGTGAGTATCAAAATAAGACCTATTGAATATTTTCATTCAAATCTTTATATTTTAGCGATGCCATACAATACCTCTATTTTTTTTGCTTATAGTAGGGATCGTAATAAATTTGTTAAACAATTAGGAGTTTTCAAACCCCCTCCCCTCATTGTGAGACTGAGTTGAATTTATCCTACAACCCCTTTCCCCTCCCTTTGTAAGATCGTCTGTCTGTATATGACTTGTCCTTCGCATTCCAAAAAGGCCAATAATCATGAAAATTAGGCACCAAATGTGGTGTGATGTGATGTGAATGAAACCCACCATCAGTGCAAGGATTACCAATGTCTGCAGATACTTTACCGGTTGTAAAGTTCTGCCTGATGGTTTGTTGCAGCAGGGTGAATCAGCTGCATTGAAGACCTTTGGAAGATAAAACGACCAGATGGCCATCTGTAATCACGTGACAAAGGACTGTCAAATCCACGAACCCTCGTCCAGTCAACAAATCCTTTGATTCCCTCAGGCTGCCCCTCCCAACCCAGTACATAATATAATGTTTTGACCAGGCTTGCAATTGCTCATTACAGCTAAAATGCTAGTTTTTCTAATTATGAAACTATGGGATACTATAATGATAATTGTCGGTAGCACAAAGACGAGCAGCAGATGATTCACCAGTTCACGAGCGCAGGTAGGTAGGGTTTCCCTTTTTCCTTTTCTTTTCAGGTTCCAGATGCAGGTGCAAATCGCTTACACTTCTTCTTCTTTTAAATTAATCACTATTTTATTATCTTTAACTTAGTTAAACATGCAATTCACTTTTTATTCTCTTCAAAATCTCTACCACTTCAATAAAATTCTTCACTGTTTATTATTTACTTTTTTCACCGATGACGTTCAGGAAGCAAGAGACCACACCAACGACGAATTGAGCTTTTTATATCCGAGGGGTGATCGGAAGTTATTTTTCCACCATGTTGCCATTTCCGAAGGGCCGTTAACGTCATCCTTCAATGGTTGTCGGAGTCGGTCGACCTATCAATGTTCGAGGGGATCGGCGGTGTCCACGTTGCAGGTTGACATGTAGGTGGTTCTGCGATGATCTTTCGTGATGAATAATGATGATGCACGAACAATAATTTTTATGTGTAAGAAGCCAGAAGAGGTGATAAAGTTTGGGTATGACGTATAAAATTTGTCGATGTTGCTTTCAGAAGGTCACAATTAGCTATTTTAGGATCGCCGATTGCTCGCTCATCGCATTGTTCATCGTTACAGCTAATCGCTATTGTGACCCTTTTAACATATTCGATTTGCAGTAATGTTCCACCACATGCTCAAAAATGTGCAGACAATCCATTTGGCGTTCAATGGTGATTTCAAAGACACAAAAATGGAGAATTTAATGGAGAAAACTTCATTAAGAATTTGTCAAATTTAAGAAAATCATTTAAATTTAGTTTAAATAGATAAAATCAGATACGATCTCACCAAGCTAGTCCAAATGAATCCACAAGAAGCATCCGTGCTATTGTTGCATTTTAGTTCCAATCAAAAACGGTTCGCTTGATGGGGATCAACATAAACTAGTCCGGTCCTATGTAGAACCAGTTTGATGTGTCCAAATGTAGTGATCCTCCGGATTGGGATAAAAGATAGAAGCATCCGTGCTATTGTTGCATTTTAGTTCCAATCAAAAACGCTGGACCGAGTGAAGGTAGCCAAGTATCAGGACTAGCAACTTGTAATTTGTTGACGCGAATACGACGAACAATGGAATATCTTGGTTCCTCTTCGTTTTTGAAAACGAATGTCAGCGGCAAATCACAGTCAGTACAGCAGCATGACGTACAGCCAGTATCCCTTGGGGATGGGATGCAGTTCTCGCAAGGCTTCTTCTACATAGATGGTTTGATTCCTTTTGAAACGGATAATCGCGTTCTTGGACACCTTCGAAAATGTTAACCGAATTAATAACCAAATAGACATAAACAACTCCGAGAAAAAAAAAACGAATGTCATATTCTTTCCACGCGCAGCCTACTCTGATGAAAATTAGGCGCCAAAATTATCATAAACATCGCTTAAACAGCTTTTACAGTTGTGTTCGATAAAATAGCAGCGCATGCCGATTCCCATACAAAATGGTCAACTTTGATAACTTTGTAAACTTCGATGCTTTCAAAAATTTAATATTTTGTAATCGTAAAATTGAACATATTTGTAATTCTTTGGCGAACATTTCAGCTCAATTGATTATAAGTTAACAATGTTACATCATGTCAAAGTTGACCATTTTGTATGAAAATCGGCATTCGCTGCTATTTTATCGAACACAGCTGTATATACGCTATGATAGCCCTGGCAACGTCAAATACGAGTCCAAAAGCAACGCGAATGACATTGAAATAGTTTAATGGTATTGAAACGCTCATAAGGCTATATAAGGCTTTGGAAATTAGAAAGAAATCACTCAGCCTAGATTTTCCAAAAGGATTACGTTAAGAGATTTGATTTATTAATATATGTATTAGACCCTCCCTTTTAAATATGCTCGTTTCAAAATATTTGATAGTGGAATACGCGTTACTGTCAAGATTTTTGGATTGCTCCAAACAAGAGAACTTTGGGGCCGTCCACGAAAAACCGACCTATTTCGCTGTTTCGGGTTGATGATCCTTTATCGCATGCGTCATATTACATGTTAATAGATGTGATTTTGCAGCCTCACTGGATTGCGTTTCACATAAAAGCTCGTTTCCGTAGCTGCAGTAAAATGCATATACTTTAACTTTCCATAGGGAAAGTCACCGAATGGTGCGGCAATAAACCTACTACATATGAGTGGTCAGTTGTAATAAGCAAATTAGAGTAAAATGAACCTTTTTCAGTGTCAAAGAGACCTGCCACAGTCAGATTCCGGACTTCAGGCACCAACATTTACACTTTTTACGAAGATTAGTTTCATAAAGTATCGTAATTTTCGATATTATTGGGAAGTTCCAGTGAACGAATTTATTAAAATAAAAGAAAATGCTTTAGTAGGGCAATATTTATGGATTGTATTATGTTTTCATTAGCTTATTTTTTCTACATTGAAAGAATTAATGCTGGATTGCATGTTAGAGCACACATTCAAACTGAGTCGATAGCAAATAAAGTTTGAAACCCGCTCCACTAGGTATACTTTCAACGTGCAAGCTGTGTTATGTTTAAAACGAGTTCAGTGACCCAGATTAATCACTTTAAACAAATAAAATTTTCCTAAACAGTTGAAAAATGAACATCGGCTCTCCCGTTGCTGTAAACCATATGCTTCATAATTCACACATTAACACGAAATTGAATAACTGCGGCGTATAATTGTCCGTGTAACCCATTAGCATCCAAAACACATACACAAAGCTCTCAATAAGAAACACTCTTCATTTCATTCGGCTTCGTTAGCCAAAAATAAACAAACCATTCGGGAAGTGGCGGGGGCGCCAAACGCCAGAAACGCTCTAATTCAAACCACATGATTCACGCACGGATTGCGCCAATAATTCGTCCAAACATTTCCCACACATCATACCGACACCACTTCCAAGCTGGAATAATAAACAGCACGTGTAACTCGGCTCGTAATAGTGTTCTAAAAAGATATGAACGGAATGCACCCTAGGTAGCAACTTCATTTTCACACGATCGGATCAAGTTTCAATCACTTCCTATCGGTTTGCTGGCCAGAAAGCTCCATAAATGGTCAACCGGAGGCCGGAGCAGGTCTCTAGCTACGAACTGGCAATCAAATCTGTCATTACACTAACCTGCCACAATGGACGTCCGTGCATTCTGTTGCTGCTGTTGTTGTAATTGACGAGGAAAATGTTGAGGCCGTTAACGGTGACGGGCTGTGACAAGGAAAACGACTACTCGTTTTCCCTCAAAAGCGGTATATAGAGCACTGATATTAGAATAGACACTGAACTGAAATTATCCTCCAGGGGATAAGCACTGGCTTGTTAGGATTGATCACTCAATTAGGGGAACACTTCCGGACACTATGCTAGATCACTTGTTTCGTTGCTGATGTTTTTCTTCGGTTGCCTCTGGGATCAACCGGATACACACTGGATAACTTCGTTTCTTGGATGTCACAAATGACGAACAAACACGAGAGCCGGGAGGTTTGTTACGGTTTGCTGCACGATCGAACGGGTACGGAATTGTGATGCAGTTGTAAGTTTTGAACGATAACACGGTTAATTATACTGTAAACGCAAAAACGCAACTACCGATCTGTCGAGGACGAAGGATGAGAACGAAATACCTGTACTCATGGAGGGTTGTCTATGTTATATATATAGAAAAAGCTGCTTCATGAATGAGTTTTTCACGCCTCCCGCGTCGCGCCGATGATTGCCGAGATGCTCCACGATCACCGATGGATGGCGGGTGCGGACAGAGCAAGGGAGAGAAATGCGCGCGATCGCACTATTTTGCCTCTTTTTTGTGTTTATATGGTCATCGTTGCGAGCGTGGATGCAACGATCGATGAATTTTTCTCTTAGTGATAGTCTTTTGTTTTCCACTTTTTATCGGACTTTTTTGCCCGTAGGTAGGGGTGCTTCATACTAATCTATTTTCGTAATTATCATCATTCTGATAAATTGATATATTGAAGAAAATAAAAAGATATCCAATTGCATATACTAATCCACGTGAGTTTTGAACATCCCTACACCTTATCACTTAATGAGTTAAACAGCAGCGTAGGGATTTGAACTAAAAAAAAACCTGCTGAGAGGGCGTTAAGAGCACTTGTTCGGAAAAACTGACGAAGTTTCGCCGATAGCGATGATAATAGCAAGGCCATTCGTCTATCTTCGACTTGTGGAAAAAAGCCGACAAACGATTGCTCGAGTGATTGTAATCAACAGAAAAAAAAATGCCACCTCATAAAGTGTGTAGGTGTGAATAACAACCGTTTGGAAAAGCTTTTCTACAACCGTTGAATTATTATGATTAATGCATTTCAGTGTAGTCATCTGTCTGTGACTGTATAAAAATACTTTAGTTTTAATGACTTATTCATTGCTCGTGTAGAATCAAGCTATAAACACATCTATGGCAAATGAAGTTTATTGTAATTGTTGGCAGTTGAAAAAGTCGTTTAATTCATTGTGGCGACGCATATTCACCATTCAGCACTGGGCGATGGTAGAAAGACAGCGCTTAGTAACATATGTGATTCATTTTTCGAGTGAGAAATGATCTGCCTTGAGAAGGTGATGATCTGTCGTGCAGTATTTATTTCATTGACATGACAATGGGGGGATGGAAATAGAATGTAGCTATTTTTGGTTTATTAGGAAAACATAGTTTACGTCGTAAATAAACAGGATCAGGAATGTGAATCAATTCGATTTTTTGTATTTGAATATTGCGGGGTTGTCAACAAACTACGTAGCATTACGTGAGATTGTTGAGGGAAAACGTCCTCTTTTAGTTTTATTATCTTAAACTCACATCGAAGCTTTTGATCAGTATAGTATTCCTGGATATGTTGTTGCTGCTTGTTTATCAAATTCTAGACACACTGGCGGTGTTGCCATTTCTGTCAAAGATTCAGTTCAATTCAACCTTCGTACCAACGAAGTTATTGATGGCAACTGGTTCTTGGGCATTACAGTTGTACGTGTCATGAAGCTGTTTAATTATGGTGTTTTGTATCATTTTCCCAGTTCTAGTGACCAGCGTTTTGTTGAAATTTTAGAGAACTGGCTCAAGACATTCCTTGATTCTAGTCTGGTCCCAGGAGTGGGCTATCCGTAGGGAACTCTTCATTCGGAAGGTAAAGGGGGAAACTAGCAAATGGATGGACACAACCAACTGGCGAGACCAACGGATCCTCTCCCGACTCCGATCCGGCCACACCCTCGCCACCCACAACATGGGGGGTAGAGGCCCCTTTAGGAAAAGGTGCGATCACTGCAACACCACCAACAGCGTCGAACACCTCTTAATGAACTGCCCACTCCTCCAAGGCCCTAGAGAGGCATACGGGATACAGGGTAGCATCCGGAACGCCCTCTCAAACGACCCGTCGGCAGAAGCGGCCCTGATCTGCATCGTCAGAGACGCGGGTCTATATACAAATATCTAACCCTCCACACAACCACCGTCGTTAAACCATACCACTGACCATTGCCACGACTCAGGAACACCATCAGGAAACCCCTCATACCACACCCAGGGAAATAAAACCCACACAAACCCCCCGACAACCGCCACGAACCCTGACACTCCACAACCAAGTACAGAACAAAAGACCGACCAACGAAACCTTCACGACCGACCACCGCTAAGAACTCAATGAAAGCCATCAAGAAACGATATTACCCATCAACCAGACCGAAGAACCCATCCCAACAACCGCCATGACCCAGGACTCTCTCCAGGAAGCCGTATAACAACAAACTGCAACAGACGGAAGCTTCTGCCCGAAACGAGAACCCCCTCTGGGTCTCTCTCCGGGAAAAACCTTTCACAAAACTCTGTAATACAAAAACTCTGTAATCTGGGAAGCTCCCATCTGGGACCTCCGGAGGTGAACCAGCCCAAGGCCTCCTTAATAAAGAAAACCTAACCTAACCTAACCTTGATTCTAGTAAATTAAATATATTGGCTGGTGATTTTAATATTAATTGGCGTGATAACCATAATTCGAATCATTTAAAGCGTTTAGCTGAGTTTTTTTTTTTAATTTAAAGCAAACGGTAAATGAATGTACGCGTATGTCCTGGCACAGTAGAACTTTAATTGACCACGTTTATTCCCATTTTGATTCCATTTGTTCAGTTACGGATACTGATTTGAAAATAACCGATCATGAGACCTTAGTGATTAATGTCTTGGACCATGTTAACGATAACGATAATTTTGTAAAATTGAAGTGCTGGAGGAAATATTCGAAGCAAGCTGTTTTCCATTCGCGGCCGGTAACTTAGATGAATCTACAGCTGTTCTTAATAACGCTTTGAAAACGTGTAACAATCAACTAGTTGAGAAGAAGTTTGTTTCTTCGAAAAACTCGAACAGCTGGGTACAATTTGAATCTTTTGCGTCTTAAACAGAAAAGGGACAAATGGTACAAAAAGGTTTGTAGGTAAAATAATGACAATCATAATAGTAATAAGTATTCATAATCGAAAAAGAAAACTCGTTGTGAATATGTTCAAAGAAAGATTGATCAGCATCAAAACAACAACAAAGAGTTATGGAAAATTTTGAAATCTTTATAAAAACCTAGTAATTGCAAACCGCAGTCCATAACCTTTAATGGCACATTAGAACAGTCAAAGCAAGTAATTGCATCTAAGGTTAATGATTATTTTGTCGAAAGTGTTTCATTGATTAATCAATCCATTGAATTGGTCGATGATTTTATTTGCTTTTCATAAGGAAAATCGGCTGGAAGAGATAATGTTAATGCTAGAGTTATTCAAGATTGCTTTCATGTCATTGGCCACATCTTGCTGCACCTTTTTAATGAATCATTGCAAACTGGATTTGTGCCATCAACATGTTGCACACATTAGAGAAAATTTTAGAAATTATTGTTAAAGGCCAGCTGTTGAAGTATTTAAATTTGTGAAACCGCGTTTAATTTGGTATTATCGAAGTGGAAAAAATGGCTTGGAGTGTAAAGATACGATTGTTGCTGTTTTTTTTTTGGTCTTAAACGCGCTTGCGAAATAATTTCTAGGCTCTTATTGTTAAGATCAATCAAGCGCTTTGGAATACCGAGTACTGCATATAAATGGTTTGAAAGCTATTTGTCTGACAGAACTTAACGGACTGTTTTTAATGATTATGTTTCCAGTGCCGTGGGAAATAACCTTGGAGTGCCCCAGGGAAGTGTATTAGGGCCCCTGTTATTTATTATGTATATATTAATGACTTGCGACGTGTTTTACGATTTTGCGACATTATTCTTTTTGCAGAAGATACTGTGTTATTCATTGCAGCTAAGGATTTAGATGAAGCCGTTTTACACTTGAATGAAGATTTGCGTTCTCTAAGTAGATGGTTGAAGTATAAGCAGTTGAAATTGAATACAAGTAAAAATAAATTTATGGTAATTTCGCGGAATCGATTATGAATGTCATCAAGAAAATTGCCAAGAAGTATGGAATTCTATGTCGACTGAAAAACGATTTAACTATTTCCAGTAAAATATAGCTATACAAATCAATCATCTAGATTTTTGCCCTTCCATTTTATTTCTGGCCAATGCAACACAAATATCGAGATTACAGCGCTTGCAGTATAAAATAATGCGTTTGATTTTGAGATGTAATCGATTCACTTCTTCAACTTTGATGCTAAACGCCTTACAATGGTTGTCGGTGAAGCAAAGAATTGTATATTTGACTATGGTGTTCATTTTTAAAGTAATTAACGGTTTGCTCGATATTTGTGTGATCGAATTGAAAGAGGAAGTGACTTTCATAGATATAATACTAGGAACGCGGTTGAAATAATAACACCACATTTCTTGACTTGTGCTTCACAAAATTCATTATAGTATAAAGGAATAAATGTTTTCAATTCGATGCCTAGGCATATCAAACGTTCAGCAACACTTACAGAATTTAAAATACACTGCATTTCACACGTTAAACCTGTCTTTTGAACAGTTGTCCACTGATTATGAATTGACAAATTATGTATCTTGACGGAGTTATCTCTAACGGGTTATTTTATATGGATAGCTGTCATAACGACTTTTTAATAATTATTGTAGAACTGCAAAAAACTTTTTCTGTTCGACACGATGGTGATGATGGATTTTTAATATTTGATTTAATAGAAGTAGATTAAAAAAGTAGTCTACAAAGGTTTGAGCCTCGCGCGCGCATTACGGATATAGAGGACTGAATTTAACATTTGATAAAAAAAAATGCAATTTTGAAGCTTATTTGGAAGATACCTTGAGTTAGTAGTAAGTTTTCTGGCAAATGTTGGGGGTTCGTGAGCATTCCTGACATTGCTGAAAATTATGATAGCATCAGATTGCGGGGTTGCTAGTGTAATAGGATGCTTTGTTGATTGTTCATTTACTCTTGATTGCTTGTAATACTTGTGAATATTTTAGGCGGACAAAAAGACGAACTAAGAGGTGGACGCCTGAGCTTTTCCACATTTATATCGCTGTGAAGCAACTGTAAACTCTAGAGGGAATTTATATCTGTAACTATAACCAGTTTGATTTTGTTCGCTAACCTAGATAAAATGTCATATTTAATTATTTTAAAGATAAATC